AGAGAGAAGGGAAGAGAGAGGAAAAGTATATTGGAACAACAAATATTTCACCTGCATTTTTGAAGTAGTGAGGCTGTAAAAGTCTATTTTGAAAGGAGCATAGTTTATGGCAGTTTGTGTTAATACAGGGCCCGTAGTTTTCTGGTCATTAAGAACTTCATACTTTTTGGAATTTTTAATACTGTTTTTTCCTCCAAATTTATAATGCTTGATTTCACACTACTGTATCCTGTTTTGAAAATACAAAATGATAGCATGTATACTTCTTGAAGGTTTCTAGATAAAATAGTTTATCATCACTGGATATTCAATTAGTACATTTCCAGATAACAGATGCTTCCCTTCTTTGCTTGCTAAAATCTTTCATCTCAGCCATTCTTATTGTAAAGTGTCTTGGAAAGCCTTTATGTTTTAATGATTCTGAATTGTTGATGAATATTTGTTAATACGGTGTCTCCAGGGGCTACTGAGGTATGTCATAGGGCCATTTGTCCTTAACAGCGAACAGTTCTCCATAGTTATTGTTCTTTTGCGTATTGTTAAATGGTGTTTCTATTTTTCAAAGCTTGATATTAATTCATATGGCTACTAGCATGCAGAGAAGGTATTTGTGAATAAAGTAAGAGAAAGAAGGTTCTTAATGGGCTTGAAGAGCACTTCAGTGAGGGAAGTACTTGGATTTTATGATGTATTTTATCTCTCTGTCTCATGAACCTGCCCCTTTGTGCCCAACACCCCCCCCCCTTTTTTTTTCCCAAAAAGCATGGTACTTGGCATGTGTTCCAGGTAGTTACTGTAAGAGAGAGGGGCTTGGATTTTGAAGCTAGGCAGACACTGAAGACGATTATAACTGGATCATTTAATAGCACCAGAATCTTAGGTTCACAGGTGGAAAATAGGCAATAGGCATGTTATACTTATATCTGAGGGTTGTGAGGATTAAAAATAATGGATCTTAAATCTAGTGTAGGAGATATCTTAACAAATGCTAGTTCCCTGTATGTTTTAAAATTAATGTCCCACTTACTTTGGAAATGACATTTGCCTACTTCATTCAGTATGATACTATAATGATTAATGAGTCAATATCCCTAAAATACAGTAGCTTGTAATATCTCTTTAATCAGAAATAAATGATATCGGACAAGATTTTGTTGATTAATTTGGTTGATCATATGAATAAAATAAGGTGGAATATTTTTGAAGACTGAAATACAAATTCAGAGGCAAGAAAAATATTTTTTTAATAAAATGTAGGAGACATTTTTTTCAGCCAATAGGATGAATCATGTTGAAATATTTTGTTGATATCTCTCAAGAGTTGATACACTACTAGTGAGTGCTGTTTCTTTAATGCAGAGGTAGGTGTTATTCTAGAAACCATGTAGACGAGTTAAAAATCTCGCAGAGTTCTCAAGACCATTTTGTATTTACCCTATTGCAGCAAGTTCCAGTAACCTGAAACAATACTACATGGGTGCTCTAGTAAATCACATATTTATTGTTACAAAATTTTATAATTGTCCATAGCTTTTAATTAATCCATTTACAGATCAGCTTGTAAGGATATCATTTGCTTAGTAAGTACTCTAAATACACATCTAGTGCCATTGAGTTTTGATGGTATCAGAGGGAAAAAACAAAAAGCCATAGCCTCTGCCTTTAAGGAGCTGTCTCACAATAATATGAACACCTTGATTGAGAAGTTCCATAGATGTAATGTGATGAAATACTACAAAATTGCCTATTAAAAACTTCCCAGAAATACTGGGAAGGGAATGGTGAGTGGGCTGGAGGCAGGGTTTGAATGAGAATCAAAGATGTGATTTAAAATTTTTTTATGTTTAAGAATGATGTATGAAATTTAAAGGTGAGTTAAGTCTAAGAAAGCAAGGATTCTTACTTCCAAAGGAATTAAATGAGCTGTATTGAGATTTATTCATAAATACAGACATGTGATTGTTGTGGTAGTGGTAAGTTGGAATTAATTTGTTTAGCATCATTGCCTGTTCAAAAGAGTTTTGGTGAGTGATGAAAGAATTTAGGTGTTGCCTAAGGAGTGGTGAGTGATGAAAGAATTTAGGTTTTGCCTAAGGAGTACTCTAACTTTTGAGACCAACTGAACTAAAAAGATGTTGTGTTTCACTAGAAGCATCTTATGAATTATGACTGAATAGACAATGAAATCTCAGTTGAGTTAGTGGCCAGCTTTTTCCTTACAACTAAATAAATCTAAGCAGTATTTTGACTATTTCTTTTTATATTTCCCATTTACAAATATTCTGAACCTCTCTTTCTGACCATTTATATATAGTTGGCATTAGTTATATCACCTGAAACAGTCAAGATAAGACTTCTTATTTCTAATGCTATCCATGTAGCATGCTTAAATTGCTAGACAATTTATGAAAAACGGGTAAAAGAGGGTGCCAGGAAGTGAAAGAAAAATAGAAGTAATATCATGGCAAATTCTAGGAAATTGTATTTTTTTATAAAAAGATTTGATACATTTTATATATTCCTCAAACCCATGTTCTTAGTCTCTAAGAGTTTGGTGTAAAACTGAACGTATGCTATAAAGCGTAATAAAGAAAGTTCAGTTTAATCATACAGCTTTATTTCCCTAACTTTATGCACTGGTTCTTTGCATTTGCTGGGGATGATTATATGAGTGTTTGAGATGTAGTTTGGAGGTTAAAAAGTTGAAATCTTTCTAAGAAAATTACATCTTTTTCTAGATACAACAGTTTCTTTCCTTGAATATAGTAATAAAACCATTTGTTCTTTAGGGGTCTTGATTTTGCTATTGACTAGCTGTGTCACTTAGCACAAATAATGTCATATTACTGGAACTGTTTCCTCATTTATAAAATTAGGGATAATGTTAAAATCTAAAACTCTTACAGATTAGTAGGACGTATTTTATCTATGATAGATAGATAGATAGATAGATAGATAGATAGATACGAACACATTGGCAGGTCCCTTGCTGTTCATTATTGCTGGAATGTGAAACTGGTTTTGTTGTGTCAGGATCATTATCGATAATGTTATTCACACCAAGCAAATCATTCTGTGCTTTTTTTGATTCATGATTTTATCAATCTCATGGTACTCTTCAGGATTATGTGTCTTGTATTAAAAATTAAGTTACTGCCATGATGATTAGCATTACTAGAGTGAGTGACATAAGCAAATTTAAAATTATTTCTCTTCTACTGAAGGCCCATTTAAAAAAAAAAAATATATATATATATATCCATCCAATGTTCTGTAATTTCATTTGACTAAAGAATGTATCCTTGGTCTTATTCCAGAGTAAGGACAGGACTACTTCTGTAGCTGTATTCTGTAATTAATTTTTGCTTTGTGGGTTTCATTAGGCTAAATAAGAATAAAATGGTTGTATATTTTCTGCTTTAAAAATGTTCTTGCTATAAAGTCTTCTCAGATCAGCCTCACATATGACAAACTCATTCAAACAATTTAAGCTGCCCCAGTGTATTTGTTTTTTTCTTGAAAATCTTACCACTTATATGTCTTTCTGAGCTGTTTTTCTCCTTCCTCCACCCCCATGTTATGTTTTGGATTATAAACTTGCTGAGAAAGGAATTTCATCTTTTCTCTGTATCTCATAGTACCCAGGAAAGAATTCTGTTAGTCACTGAATAGTTTGCAAATGTTATTACTATTGAGGATTTTGGATTAAAATTATTGAATAAAACAGAATAAGCCTTTTCTAGGATATCAAATTGGGGGTCAGTGTGATTAACTCAAAGACATGGCAATTTTGTTAAGCTCTGGACTTTGTGCCAAAGTTACTTTCTCTTGATTTTACCATAAATTGATTATTCACCTTATATTCTCTCTTACATAATACTTTTGTATCAGGATATTGATAGCAGAAAGCCTGTCAGGGTGTAGGTTGGATAGATGTACATGTGTGTGTACACGTGTGCTCGTGTATGTGTATGAGAGAGAGTAGGCACATAGAATATGTGAGAATTGGGGTTACATGTTATGGTTAGCATTCTAATCTGAGTATTACATAACAATCTAATTATGTGTACTTAATTTTAGACTATTATACTTGACCTTCAGAAATAACTTTTAATCAGTGGTAAATGCAATACCTCAGGACATGTTTTTCCATTCCTTTCATGTTTTCCTTTTAGCTATATTCTGTTGTATATTTTCCAAACACTTAAATGGTCAAGGATAAAAAAATTATTAAAATGGGTCAGATTCTGTAACTAGGCAGAAATTATTGGAGCTCTGTACTATACCTTAATCACATATAGGAACAGTTTAATATGCCTAATATTTGAGAAGCATCAAAACAGACTGTGAAGCTCAACAACCATAAAGCTTCATGGTTGAAAATCATATATAATTGACAACGTTTACAAAGATTAGCTGTAATAATTAAGATGAAAAGAGCCTAAATTCGGTGCAGAAAAAGGGCTGAGTTGTTTTTGAACTATAATTAAAAGTTAGTATCCATACATTTTTGTCTTCTCAGTATAAACAATATTTGCAGGCAGAGCATGTCTTTTCAGTGTAACCTTTAACTTCTTATGGTACTACAAGTAGTTGATGATTTAGTAAATACTTTATGAATATAGATGATACTATCAAAATGTTTCCAAATATTACAGTTAATATTTGGAGTCAGTGTTTGACAGGGTTCAAGTTTGCAACAGTACAGTTTATAGATATATCATTGAATAAATGCCATCTTTATTGTGTGTTAATTTGGGTAATAAAATAATTGAGGGAACTTTGTTAGAAGAAATTAGAAGTTCACTTAAAACTGTTCTCGGATGATACTAGAATTTTAGAGGTTTTTTTTTTTTCTTTTGTCCTAGCATTTCTTCTTAAACATAATGATTGCTTAAAAGGATAAATCAAAGTCACTCACTTTATTTTCCAGTTTAGAGTCATTGCTCATTATCAGTTGGTGGGTGTGGAAACAACTTAACGAAGTTTGGGTAATTTAGTTTCAGTTTAAATTCTCAACTGGCAATTGGCCGAAAACTCCCATCAGAAGACGTGAGCATCCAAATGTCATTTTGTGATTTGGCTACTGTCTGCTTGAATAGGAAGGCCCTATCAAGAAAAACTAATGGCGTGATTAACTATCAAAAGAAAGTCAATGGTAAGAGTTTTCATTTAAATTATAATGTGTCTGTGTGTCTGTGTGTGTGTGTGTGTGTGTGTGTAAAGCATACCACTTATTATTTGAATTAAAATTTTAGAACTTTAAAAATCTAGGACATAATGCGAAATGTTTGAATTTATATGTCTGTGACTTACATTTGTAACAAAATACATGCAAAGAATGGTTTTATAGAGATTTTATATGCTTAATGTTGATAAGAAGACTAATTAAAAGTGTAAAAAATAAGTTATATAATTCATAATTGTTTAACACATTCAGGGTTTTTTTGTAGAGAACTAGTTCTCTTTAAAAAAATAGCATATTATAAATACTGCTTGTATGAAGTTTTAACTTTTTTAAAAAATTTATACAAAACTGAATTTGTTAGTGTCATATATGCTTCTTACAAAAGTAAATGTCATAAGTTTTGCAATAAAATAGTATATTGATCTCTGTTTTGTTTTTTATGTCCATTATAAAGTGATGGGTGGGGAGAAAGAAAGTATATCATATAATGAAATCCTCTTAGTTTAGCATTAGGTTTTTAAAACTGTATCATTGCTACAACATCTCTGTGGAAAATACTAAATTATCAAGATAGATGTTTAAATGAAGTGGAGTATCTGTTCATAATACAGCACACTATCAAATTTTGGTGACAAAATTCTGACATCTCTCCCCTGCCTTATACACATTTGCATTGAGAATATAATTTAAGTTTGGCTATATTTTAGTATGCTTCAAGTGACTTTAAACGTAATCTTTTTATTCTCTTTGTATTTGTTTCCTAGATATCCCTTGATTTGGACATCTGTGTCCTCTCAGATTTGTGATTAGTCATGTTAACTTTGGACAGGAGTGAAAGTAGTAGCTTATAGAGGTTAAAATAAAAACATTTCTGTTTGTCAGAGCTTATTTCAGTATTCTCATGGACACAGATAACTGGAAATTGGGTGTTGAAGCTCAGATATTAATAATATATTGTGATTTTTGTTGTCACACTTACAATTTTTGAGATTGACATAGTTTGAGTAATTTGTCTTGCTCAATTAGAGGTGTCAAAATGATGGTAACTGAATGTGACCATATTTTTAACTATTTCCTAGAGCTTAATAATAAACATACAGGAATAGCACATGTGGCAAGCACCTAGCACAGCATCTGTCATTATGTAAGCGTTCAGATGTTGACAGTGAACTAAGATGGCAACATCTGTCCTTCAACCCATCTACCTAGTAATTCCAGTTTGTAGAGATTGTCTGTTATGTGCCATCCATTCAGCTAGGTGCCAGGGATAAAATGTCACAGTTAAAAACAGAGATTCTTTCTAACTGCTCTTGAACTTCCATGTAGATAGTAATTACAGTGTAGAAAAATTATGCAGACAAATATGAAATTGCAACTGGAACCAGTACTATGAAAGGGCAAAAGTCGCTATGAGAGTAAGAAGCAATATGGTGGGTGTGTAAAGCACAGAACTCATACATTTACTTTTTAAAGTGAATTGATAACTTGTTTTAACTTTTAAAGTTTCTAATTCTATTTAAATGGGTATCTTCTAAGCAAGTGTGCAGAAAGACTTTTTGGAGAAATACATGTTTTATGCTGCTAGTCTATTTTCTTAGATTTCCAAAGAATTTACAAGAAAATAACATCAAGAATTTAGTCAACGTAGCATTCTTATGTGAGAAATTCTTAGGGGATGTGTTATTTCAGGATTGAATAAAGTGAATGAGGACCCTGATTTCTTCAGCTGAATTTAAGTTAATTAAAGGATGTCAACCATAAAATAACTACTCTCCACTCTTAGCAACTGTTCCATTCTGTTATCAACCTAGTACAGGGATTTATTTATCACTCATTTACATCATTGAGTTGTTACATGTAGACATTTCTTAATGACAATATGATTTCCTTAATCAATTTTTATCCCTTTTTGAAAGAAAAGAATGTAAAATTTATGTTTCTTTTATAAATTTATTCTAACACATATATTCATTAAATTTTTGCAAATAAAAAGGAAGAGTATTTGGATGCCTAATAAATGTTTACACTTTTTCTATGGGACACAGAATCTCATCTAAGGCAAAGACACAAGTGATGTTTGAAGAATTATGAAGTTAGTTTTTTTATATGTTAGATCTGTCAATATTTTTAGTTTTTTAAATGTTTATTTTGAGAAAGAGCATGCATGAGCAGGGGGAGGGGAGGGACAGAGAGAGAGGTGAGAGAATCCCAAGCAGGCTCCATGCTGTTGAGCAGGGAGCCCCACATCGGGCTCCATCTAACAAAGAACCTTCAGATCATGACCTAAGCTGAAATCAAGAATCATGCACTTAACCAGCTGAACCACTCAGGCGCCCCATCTGTCAACATTTTTAAAAACTCTCATTGAAGACAAGCTTTTCTTTATTCATCTGATAGTATAAACAAATTGAATGCAATCTAGTATGCAATGAAAATTCAAAAAGCTTAGTTTTACAATAGAAATGATCTTTGCCTCATTTACTACTAAAATGTGTAAGCTATTTAAAGTATTCAGTGAACATCTTTCTCAAATAGAAGAATCAAAATTAAGTCCATTGTTAACTTTTTACTTAAAATTATTATGTTGAATTTCATCTCTGCAGTGATGTCTAAATTTATTTTTTCCTGGATGTATTCAAAAGAAGGTCGCCAACCTCAGTATTCTGATTTGAAGTTCCTAGCTCAAATACGTAGGCAATTCCACTTAACAATGCTAGAAGAAAGAAGTCCTCCAGGAGTGTCTTGAGGGAATTGTACCTTTCTGTGTAACATGCCTTACAGCGCTCATGACATTACATTTTTTTGACAGCTCTTTTTGCTTCTATGCAGTTAGCTTTGATTGGTCTATGATGTCAGCTGGATGAGCATTTAGCCATACAAAGATATTTTAAAAACATAGGTATACATCACAGAATGAAGATGATAAATTACATTTATTTTACTGAAATCAGTAAAAAAATAGCCCTTGTTTCTGAGCAAACAAAGGTCTACCAGTAGTTAATCAGTTTTTAATTCTATTAACAAACAATGCAGTATCTGCTTGAGCGCGTATGTCGTAATATGATGGCTTCTGTTTAGAATTTTGGAGCTACTACTGTCAGAAGAAATGGTGATTAACAATGGTATTGAATTGGAAGTTTGAGAAAGGAAAATTTTAATAAAAGTTATTGTTCATAGTAGTGAGAAGGAAAAGAACATTTTTCTTTTTTTTTTTTTTTTCAACGTTTATTTATTTTTGGGACAGAGAGAGACAGAGCATGAACGGGGGGAGGGGCAGAGACAGAGGGAGACACAGAATCGGAAACAGGCTCCAGGCTCTGAGCCATCAGCCCAGAGCCCGACGCGGGGCTCGAACTCACGGATCGCGACATCGTGACCTGGCTGAAGTCGGACGCTTAACCGACTGCGCCACCCAGGCGCCCCGGAAAAGAACATTTTTCAATTCATTATATAAGGAAGAACCTTTTAAATGTGGAAAATAAAATGGAGTGCCTTCTAGAATTCATTCTTTTAAGAGTCTTTGACAGAAGTTTGTAAAGAAGGAATTCTTGCTGATAACAATTATAAGTATTATTTGGAGGAAATTTGTGGCACATCTTAAAAATTAATATAGTCATATAAGTATATAAAATATGTGAAATAGGTGTCAATAGCAATATTAAGCTACTATTTATGGTGAGAGCTTTACTAAATAAACGAGATAAAAGAGCCAATCCAATTCATTCATTCTATAAATTCTTACTGGCAAATTGCTTTATGTCAGGCATGGCATTAGGCTTTGGAGATATAGTCATGAATAAGACAGATGGGACCCTATAGTTTATACCGTCAGGGAAGATAGATATTAAACAAGTAATGACAAAGTTTAGTGGCTTGTGACTTTATAAAAGCAAAGCAGGTCTTTCTTAAAGATACCTTGAGAATTGATTTCTAGTATGCTGATCATTTAATCAGCTTACTTCATGAAATAAAGTGATTCATTTTGACTTAAAAATTGAATAAAAATTCTTGGGAATCAGTCTTAGAAATTGGTAGAGACTGAAATAGTCTTGATTTTTATGTAGCTTACTTAAAACAAACTATGGAAAGACCTTCAAGTTTTTGAGTACCAAGAAATGTGAATATAAGCAGAATAAACTCATAATGCCTCATGTATGTCATATACTATAGATCATTTAATCAAATTATTAAAGCAGTTTTACATGAAAAAATGTCAAAGTTGTAATGGTTAAGATGCTACACTCTGGAGTCAGACTGGTTGGATTTAAATATTAACCCTAGCATTTACAAGCTTTGCAATTTTAGGAAACTTGTATAACTCCTCTGATCTTCAGTTTCCTCATCTGTAAAATGGGGACAATAAGAGTACATACCTTATAGAAAAATTAATCGTTTGATGTGTCTAGAGCAATGTCTGGCACATAGAAAGTACTTAAAGGCTCCACATGTTACAGTTAACAACAATAAGAACAATGATGAAATAATTTCCTCATATCAAAATGTCCTGCCTAATTTACCGTGTTGGGCCAACTGAAGTAATTTCAGAATGTTGGCTTAAATATATAGGTGTTACACTACAAAGAACTATTACCTTTATTACTGCTAAACAAAATGTCAGTGAGAGTCTCACCCAAGTTTTGGGCCCTCTTTAGCAGCAATACAGCAATTACTCAAAGGCCTCCATAAATTGCATCTCCAGGACCAAGGTTGTCTCAGCCTTTAATCCAAGACTCAGTCCATCCCAGGCATCATGGAACTGATCTTTCTTGTCTAAGAAAAGAAGTAACAAAGATTTTATTTATCCCATGGGAGATGAGTCTAAACCAGATTAGAGTAAGTTTGAGGAGGAAATGACTATGTTGATATTAAGTATTTTTTCCATGCAGATATCTAAAGAAAGAATTTCTTCCTACAATAGGTCTGCAGTATATTTGTGACATTTGTAACCTTAATCCTTGTAGCACTACTTG